AAAGGGGCGGTCGGGTAGCCTAGTGATTAAAGCGTTCGCTCGTCACACCGAAGACCCGGGTTCGATTCCCGACATGGGTACAATGTTGAAGCCTATTTCTGGTGTCCCCCGCCGTGATATTGCTGGAATATTGCTAAAAACGGCGTAAAACCATACTCACTCACTCTAGCGTAAAACGCTGTGAGTAGATCATGGTTGTCTTTTCTTATTCCGACTGTGACCTTGCCCTTCGATCGTTCGAAGCTGTCACTGACATGCAAGCAGACTTGAGTTTGTTGATTTTCACTTCTTCAGTATATAGGGTGGTACAGTTAACATGAATCTCTTTAGCGAACACTCTGATTTCCCTCTTCCAAAATGGTACGAACATGATATAAATTCAGCTGATAGATCAAGGAAACCGAACCATTTTGATTGCACAGACGGGACACCGGCAGTGCGAGTGACCGACTGTTAGTCCGATTATTTAAAGCGCGGCGCTAATGTGACTTTTCAAATTTTCTTACAGGCGTCCTTCGTACTAACAACATGGCGCTTCAATTACCATAAGTTGAAAAATGTCTTCCAAAAGGATCTTGAGCGTCGGTGCTGTTTTGTTTGCAAACACAACTGCAGGCACATGTTGTTAATGCATATGCATAGAAATGTCAACAATGCCCATATTTGGGCATATATCAATATTCATGCGCAACCAAATTTTGCAACCCGTTTCAGTTTGGTCTGTCAACGAACGAAAGTTGTTATGTATTTAAACTTAAATATATATTTAACGTGGGTAATAAATAAAATACCACACTCATTCTCGTTAGATACCGTTTTTACGAAACTCGTGAACTTGCTATGGTATCTGACGAGAATGAGTGTAGGACAAGTAGTGGGATCCCAAATGGTGCATCCCATGAATATTTCCTGGCATACTGCATTGCAGCATCCGGAACACGGATAAAGAGGGCTCACCCGGCCAGCAGTATCAGTGATGACAACATTCTAATCATGTTATTAGGAAATATAACCATATGCCTTAATTTTTGTTTACTTTTTACTCTTAAGATTTAAAAACTTTGATATTCTTGAAGTCTGCTAACAATAATAATTAAGTAGACATGGTAGGTTATACAAAGTGTCTGTCAGCACTCTGACAAAATTATCATATTTAGGAGCTAATGCTGTTGGTATGTCAATAACATCATAAAACGAATAGTACTGGATCACAGCTAGGCATGTACAGATATTGTGAAAATCCTGTGACTAGCCTACATGTAAATATGTAGAGGAAAGCGAACAGCTCTCCTAGCAGACGACGGATTGCTCAACGGAAACCACGCGGACCTCATGGGAGTGTCCACGACAACACTCTCGCGCTGTCATCTTGCGAATGAACGTCGCCATTTTCAATTACAGGTGCGCGTTTGTGCCGTGACATCTACACAGAAACCAGAAGCCCCTGCCTTCAGTTACACCAACATACAGCTACACAATATATGTGCTGTGCCACCTACCCGTGTCGCCCTTCGTCAGGTTGAAAATCGACGGAACAGACTCCTGTGTCCGTATCCCATTTTCAAAATGGAGGCTGCAGACTCGCGAACTGTGTGTAATTCTCCCATGGGGGGTGCCGCTCTTCACAACGTTCGCCACCCACTTGCGGGCGAGTTTAGGGGTCCTCCACGGGAAACGGTGCAGGGAAGGGCGTTCTTCGATCGGACCTGAGTTAGGTTTGAAGGAACAGTTTTCTACTATGCACTGGGACGCCATGGAATCACAAACTGGGCGTGCAACAAAGTCCAACAGATGATTGGTAGATTTTCTAAGGGGCGCAACTCGTGACGAAACTGTGTCATTACATATATTGTTTGAACTTAACAACGTTGTTATTATCACATATCCGGTCACTGGCGGTCAGGTTACATTTCTACATTTGGACACAGTGCATTTTGCATTTACTTAATTTTGCGCGGGCGCGTGGTGTGTGTGTGTGTGTGTGTGTGTGTGTGACTGACTGTGTGGAATGCCGCACTGACAGACAGGTATAAAATTTAAACTTGGACATTCTATGTTTAATCAGCGGACTATTAATCACATAAATTAAATGAAATAGCTATTTTTAATCATTCGTATTCAATATATATATATTTATTAAATCAACTAAAATAATGAATGAGATACATACATAAACCACCTATAAAATGTTTAAATTTATAAGTTTTAAGCTTGTTTGTTTTGTTTTTAATTTCAGAGCAAAATATTAATCTGAAATGGACCTAATCAACTCTAATTAACTGTCATGCTCATACACATACATACATACAGACAAACATACAGACATACATACATACAGACAGACATACATACATACAGACAGACATAAATACATACAGACAGACAGACAGACAGACAGACATGCATGCATGCATGCATACATACATACATACTACATACATACATACATACATACATACATACATACATACATATCGCGTATAAATCAGTGTGACTCAGCCATCTATGGCACAGCAATTCGCTCTGCACAGTTGCACCCCTTTGAGTTCTCAGGATCCGATGATCGTTTGTTCAAATCTCAGATTTGCCCTGAATTTGATCCTTCGGTTGTCGGAGCCATGCCAGTCTCGGGGGTTGCACCAAAGTGGTTAATTTTAGGACATGCATCTCTCTGGGCTTACATTCAACACTGCGCTTACAAGCCGTGACACAGTTGAAAAAATCTTTTAGCGGCGTAAAACATGGTTGACCTTGTTTTATTATAGAAACGGCCTCCGTCCGTCCGTCACGTTTCGTTTCCGGAGCATAACTCAGAAACCGTTCAATATTTTTTCATGAAACTTTGCAGGTCTGCGAGGTACATGCTGAACTGGTGCCTTTTGCTATTTAGAAATTTTAGAAATTTTTATTTTTTACGTTTCCATGGAAGCAAGATGGACTTAGGTTCTGTGAGGGTAGGTTTCGTTTCCGGAGCATAACTCATAAACCGTTCAATATATTTTCATGAAACATTGCAGGTCTGTCAGGTACATGCTGAACTGGTGCCTTTTGCTATTTAGAAAGTTTAGAAATTTTTATTTTGTACGTTTCCATGGCAACAAGATGGACTTAGGTTCCAAACTCTTTTTTTTAAAGTTCCACCTCGGTTAAAAAAGGTTAGGGTTTGTTTAGATTTAATTATGTCATAAATTCCGCAACAGGGGCGGAGGATATAGCCACGTAAGTGGCAAACACTTGTTCGTTTTGATTGGATAACCGTGACCTTTGTCACGCCGGGACTACTTTTTTCATTCATAAAAAATCGCGAGACGTCATTCATTTTGCAACTACAAGGCAGAACTGAAGGAATTAATGAGAACGAGAGATATTTACAAACACTTTATTAAACCAAACAAAGTAGTCACACGCATCAAATTCGGTTTGCATTATATATAAGTTTTGCATAGAGCTCCTAAAGACTTTATATAATCGAGCTATATCCATTTACTATGTACGACTACCGATGTAGAGAGCGTGGGTCCCCATGAGCGTGACGCACCCGACCACTTTCACAACTTTCAATTTGATTTAACGTAAAAGGATATGCGTGGTGAAATGAAGTCTGTTTAAACTATCTAGACTTACTTGGGATGATCCGGTTGTGCCATCAGTGTCCCCTTCGAAGCGTATTTTGTGGCGCTGTTTCGGGAGGTGTTGATTATGAATGAACGTACACGACTGCACGACCAGATCACGAAAAGTGAACAGTTCTGATACAAATCATTCGTAAACTCCGTGGAAGTGTGCCTGACTTCTGATTTTGTGGCCCCAAACATCCTAAACGTGAACAATAACATTCCCAATCTCTAGCGTAAAAGGGGCGGTCGGGTAGCCTAGTGATTAAAGCGTTCGCTCGTCACACCGAAGACCCGGGTTCGATTCCCGACATGGGTACAATGTTGAAGCCTATTTCTGGTGTCCCCCGCCGTGATATTGCTGGAATATTGCTAAAAACGGCGTAAAACCATACTCACTCACTCTAGCGTAAAACGCTGTGAGTAGATCATGGTTGTCTTTTCTTATTCCGACTGTGACCTTGCCCTTCGATCGTTCGAAGCTGTCACTGACATGCAAGCAGACTTGAGTTTGTTGATTTTCACTTCTTCAGTATATAGGGTGGTACAGTTAACATGAATCTCTTTAGCGAACACTCTGATTTCCCTCTTCCAAAATGGTACGAACATGATATAAATTCAGCTGATAGATCAAGGAAACCGAACCATTTTGATTGCACAGACGGGACACCGGCAGTGCGAGTGACCGACTGTTAGTCCGATTATTTAAAGCGCGGCGCTAATGTGACTTTTCAAATTTTCTTACAGGCGTCCTTCGTACTAACAACATGGCGCTTCAATTACCATAAGTTGAAAAATGTCTTCCAAAAGGATCTTGAGCGTCGGTGCTGTTTTGTTTGCAAACACAACTGCAGGCACATGTTGTTAATGCATATGCATAGAAATGTCAACAATGCCCATATTTGGGCATATATCAATATTCATGCGCAACCAAATTTTGCAACCCGTTTCAGTTTGGTCTGTCAACGAACGAAAGTTGTTATGTATTTAAACTTAAATATATATTTAACGTGGGTAATAAATAAAATACCACACTCATTCTCGTTAGATACCGTTTTTACGAAACTCGTGAACTTGCTATGGTATCTGACGAGAATGAGTGTAGTATTCTCTATATAGATCTACCTGACGTCGACAAGGACAAATGTATATTACCTAAACAATAATATGACGCTTTGCAATATTATTTTTTTATGTAACTCGTGATTTAGACAATCACTGGATTGTCTGGCCCAGACACGATTATTTACAGATCGCCGTCGTACAGATGGAATATTGCTGAGTGCTGCGATAAACAACAAACAAACAAACAAGACAAGACCAGACATGTCAAGGCGGGAATATGACTATTTATAGTAACATGCTAAAATGGGGAATTCCCCGGAAGTTAATCTTCAAAACATGGCGGTGTGGTACGATTCATTGGTCACAACACGAGCTCAATTTGGAGAAGATGCTGGATGCATTCCGCAGAATTGATCAACAGTGAGTTTTAGTTAGAGGTAGATTGATTGCTGTTCTATTGGTTTATGTTTTAGTTAGCGTGCCACGCCCAGAACCTTCAGACATATGCGCGTCTGCATATTCTACTTTCTCTTTCAGTTTATATTGGATTTCAAAGAAAAGTGACCAGTCGGTCTACTTCCCGTTTGTAAAATGAGGGGACGTGGTGGTCGTCGTGGGCGAAGCCGGGGACGTGGAAGAGGAGGTGGAAGGGGAAGGGGAAGGCGAGGAGGACGTCACTTGGTATGTACGCTGGCATGACTTGAGTTGTATTTGTATTTCTGTGTAACACTGACGGTCGACACGTGATCCTGCACATTGATTGTGGTGGGATCAGGTCTTGATTGCTGGACCCCATCGCGGCTCTTGGCTACTAGGGAACTATTTTAAATAGTTTATGTTGCAATTTTATAGTAATAACCAGTGGATAACATATCTTACACATGCATGTTGTTTCCAGCTTTTGTACTTTACATATGAGTGTTGTTTAAGATAGTCATGGAATCACGCCAAAATGCCAAAGTACAAACATAGAATGAAGACCTCAGATTAGAATTATCTTTCTGCACTGCAGCATCTTGATTGAAGCTATCTTGCAAAACAAACCATTTATTTGAGTGAACAAATCACACTTCCCTGCGATTTGGTTTCACATACCATTTGTGTGAAAGTACGCTTCATGGTGACCTTTAACCCTTTTTGGAGTCAAGGGACTGTGACAAGGATTAAGTAAGAATAAGATATATGGGTGAACAACTTCCTTATTACAATTAGGAGTGATGTTTTGGTGTAGGTTCTAACACCGTTATAGAGCAAGTGATGTACAGAGTATGGTTGACAAGTATATATAAAGGATAGGAGGCAGTGTTTAATAACTGTTTATACCAGTTTTGTACATAGAAGCCAGTAATCTAAATGCCTTTCAAATGTGACAAGGATGTTTTGATTGTTTTTCACTTACTACTCTTCTCATGTCACATAAATAAATAATACAAAGCGATGATGTGAAATTACAACACCACAAATAGATATGTGCATCTATTGTCATGTCAAGACATGTTCAGTAACTTATTCCTTATGTGCATCAATTGTATTATAATATACTCTATAAACAAACTGTATAAATACCCAATGAAGCTTTTTCAGCATGCGTACAAAGGAGCTAATTTCCGAAACACAATTACAAGCTAATTTACTTTCTGAGTCAATCCTATATATTTAGAACCGTTATATACATCTAAAACATTTCGTTTTTTGTAAATCTTAAAATGTTTACTCATTTTGGAAAAAAACCCAATAGAGTGATGATTAGATGAGTGAAAAATTTTGGTTACCCATGAAAAATGTAATAACCCAATTAAAATAGAAACCTTCGAGTAAAATCTCAATTGCTCAAAAAGTTCTGTTGAGCTCTCTCTTAAAGGAGGGCATCAGTATCCAAAGGCGCTGGCATGTTTGGCGAAGTGTAGTTTCTCATCCGTAGGACAAGTACAGTCAAACGGGTAGGGTTGCAATGAGAACTGAGCGTAGCAGGCCTTAAAAAACCTGACTCTAGACAAGATCTATCTAGGCTATGTTTTCTAGGTATTGATTGATATTTTTATGGCTATATTTTCTAGGTATTGATTGATTTTTTATGGCTATATTTTTTACTTTCAGCCACACCATGCAGGCAAAGTACAAAATCCTTTAGGCAGAGAGCGAGTAGATCTCATCTTGACCTATTTGAAAAGCTGTGGCAGCAAGCCACAAAGAGCTATTGATATTGCCAAAGGCTGTGGCTATGGAACCCCCAGGGAAGTGAACCCCACTCTGTACATGCTGAAGCAGAGGAGAGTCGTTAGACTGATTCAGGGCCCCCCACCCCAGTGGTGTTGCAACCCCAATGCCAGGGCAAGTCCTGTTCCCATGGAAATGGTGACGAACATGGATGCTATGAGGCTCGGAGAATCTTATCAGAATGGAATGGCACTAGGCGGTATTGGTCACAGATTTGGAGAATCGTCTTCAGGCATAACATGGGGTGGTACTTGTTCTGGGGGACTTGGTGGAATAGTCCCATGTAGCAGGGGGCAGGGTGATGGAGGAGCATTGATGGGGGAGTCATTCACTTCTAGGATGGGGAATCAAGTACTGGGTACAGACTTTGCTTCTCAGCAACAGTCAGAACAGGCTTTTGTGGAGCATGATGATGATGATGATGATGGAGATATGTGTGAGGATGATGATGATGACATGGAAGAGGAATCCTTTGACATTAATGACAGAATCAACGATCTGATAGCCAACAGCCAAAGCAACTATCAGGACGTGGCTCTGTCACCCGGAACTGTTGACTCTCAGAGTTCAGGCCTGGATTTAGCAGACAGGTCTGAAGACAACCAGGTGTCCAGTTCCATCATTCCCAGTAGAGAATCAGAGTCCCCTGATACTGAGCTCAGCTTCAGGGACCGTGTGTTGAAGACCTTAGCTAACCGGCTGTTGAAAACTGGAGCTAGTCTCGTTATCGTCAGTGCTCTGAAATCGAGCAAAGAATCAGTCGAAAAAGCCCTGCAAGATCTGCTAGAGGAAAAGCTGGTGGACCGGACCGGCTCAGCCTGGATGGTGACGTCAAGTGGAGATCAGTATCTGGAAGAAAATGGTATTTCTGGGCCGGTTAAGAAATCCCAACCGAATATTGCTCGAGGAAAGATGAATATTTGTCACCCATCCAAGAAGGGAGCTACTCACGGTGTCCCCCTGTCCCCGCTGGAGTTGTTGGGGTCGGACACTCAGTATGGGGTGAAGGGGGCAGGGAGGGGTCAAATTCTGGCAAATATTACCGCCGACATCCGCGGAGTCACTGACCGGGGTGTCAAGTCCCAAGTGATGCTCACAAGTCTGGCTGCTGACTCCGTCATTGGGCAGATCGGCCGAGGTCCACAGATGGGGTCTGGAGGGCAGACGAGGCCAGGAGGTTTGTCTGACCCTCGTCCAGGCATGTCTGCTTACGGTATGGGGGATGTGGGTTTATCATCACAAGAATCAGTTAGGTCCCATCCAGGAGCATTTTCCCAGACTCAGATGATAACTGGAAGTTTGTCGCTGGTATCGGAAGCGGAAGGACGACCTGGTCGTTCTTTACCTTCATTCCACCAGCAGCAGACATTTGGATCCCAGTCCGGTCTCAGATCCCTGCCTCGGACTCCGATGGACATTATCAAACAGGAGCAAGGTCAAGGCAGAGTTGGAGTGTCATCAATGGCGACCAGTGCCAGCTCGTCTGGTCACGAGCACAGATTTGTTCCTGGAGGAAACCATGATCCATTGTCACCTTGGACAACAGAGTTGTCCCCCGGACCACAGTCACTTCCGGCCAGGACACAAGGGGGCGCTTCAGGAGTTCCTGGTTTGGCTGGGGGTTTAAACAGTGTTCAGACTGGCACTCTGGAGATCACGACGGAGACGTTCGCCGGCGTCAACAAGAACCCTGTGAGTGCTCTGATGGAGTATGCTCAGTCACGGCAGTCCACAGCCAGGATAGACGTCATCAGCCAGCGGGGACCTTCCCACAAACCAAAGTGAGTACCCCTTTTAGTATCTACAATGAAATATAAGCATCAGCAAACACACTGCTGCATTTAAGTCTTTATGTCTGATTTAAAGAGGGACCTCACAGCCTGATGAAGTGTGTGAATTGTAATTGGTGTTTGTTGTGTACTGACCGTGAATTCTCAGTCTGGGTCTGTGTGTTGTGTAGGTTTGTCTTGGCGGCGTTTGTCGGGTCGCGTCAGTTCCCGGGGGTCGAGTGCAGCAACAAGAAGGATGGGAAGAAGGAAGCTGCAGACGTCGCCATGAGGATATTGCTGGCAGAAGGCCATCAGACTCAGGCCAAGTCGGTGAGTTGTGTTTAGTTAACAAGTTGCCATGACGATATTCCAGCTGTCAGACTCGAGCCAAGTCGGTGAGTTGTGTTTAGTTAACAAGTTGCCATGACGATATTCCAGCTGTCAGACTCGAGCCAAGTCGGTGAGTTGTGTTTAGTTAACAAGTTGCCATGACGATATTCCAGCTGTCAGACTCGAGCCAAGTCGGTGAGTTGTGTTTAGTTAACAAGTTGCCATGACGATATTCCAGCTGTCAGACTCGAGCCAAGTCGGTGAGTTGTGTTTAGTTAACAAGTTGCCATGACGATATTCCAGCTGTCAGACTCGAGCCAAGTCGGTGAGTTGTGTTTAGTTAACAAGTTGCCATGACGATATTCCAGCTGTCAGACTCGAGCCAAGTCGGTGAGTTGTGTTTAGTTAACAAGTTGCCATGACGATATTCCAGCTGTCAGACTCGAGCCAAGTCGGTGAGTTGTGTTTAGTTCAACAAGTTGCCATGACGATATTCCAGCCATCAGACTCAGGCCAAGATGGTGAGTTGTGTTTAGTTCAACATGTTGCCATGACGATACTGCTGGTTAGATATACTTACTATTATTACTTACTATTTTCACTATTGCAATAATAATAATAATTGACCCTAATAGTAACCCCTGTATCACCTGAAGATTTATAACAAAGAATTCACGTGTATGATACATGAGGTTTGTCAAATCAAAGATTTGCCCTGATTAGGAACAGCATAAATTAAGTTATATGCATTCAGCCTGTGTCCCTGTTAAAGTTACTAGTCTGAACTAGTCGTGTGTCATTGTCAGTAGATTTGAGTGTTAATCAGTTATAAGTTGTAGCAGGATCACGAGGGGTACATGGGGTTTTAAATCGTCCCGTGTTAGGTTGTATACCACAAGCCGGATAAACGAGTGGTAGAAAACCTAACGAGGGACACGTAACACCCCATGTACCCCGAGTGATCCTGCTGCAACCAATTTATCTTACTGACATGTTTTGATAACATAATATGACATTGTAAAAGAATTCAAACAAATTCAAAATTGATAGAAAACAGCTGTTCGATTGAGCTGAGGTTAGCTTGAGCTATGTCACATGACTTCCATTGACTCGGAAAATGCATGCAGCTTTTTGCATTGAAGCGGGATATGAGAGATTTATTCTGCCTCTCAGAAATCCACGTGCAGCCTGCATTGCTCGTGGTGGGTATAAGAGATTTATTCGGCCGCTTAGAAATTTATTCCCCTCTATGGCTGGATACATCGTATTTAATGTCACCAATGGACCAATCAGATCTCATCAGCCTGAAAAGGAGGCATGATAAAGACTGTTATTATCCACGCCTGCAAGACTTGGGGTAGGGACAAGTCGTGAACGTCACAGACTTCATTTAAGAAGCTACGAAGCTTTTTGTACTTCAGTGAGTGGGTAAGTGAGTTAATATTTAACGTCACATCGGCAGTATTTCAGCCATATTGTGATTTTTGTACTTCAGAGGCCCTGGGTAAATGATTTGTGTAGTTGAGGCTGGAGATGTGATTTTAACAGGTGGACAGAACGCTGGTCCCATCGTCCGCGATGACACACTTCGACAAGATGGCCGCTCTCACCCACCAGGCCTTCAACCAGCTGATCGCCACCATCCCGGATACTATGGCCGGCCGTAAGGTCATCGCTGGTCTTGTCATGAAGAGAACCCCCGAGGACACTGGTATCGTCATCAGCCTCGGGTCAGGTGAGTTGACGATGTTGCATTGTGTGCCGTGTAGTCCGAGCTACAATTGTGAGATCAGGGTTGTAGCCAGAGGGATTTCCTCATGCTTGTGGTTTTACATTTTCAACCAAAACTGAGGAGGAGTGTAACTGTTTTAACTAACTTATGAACCTTCTAAATGCACGAAAAACCAGAAAGAAAAAGAAAACATCAGGATACATTATAGTGAAACAATACAGTGGGTCACGGTAAAAAACAAATTTGATGACAGCGGTCGAGAGAAAGGCCATGTGCATTATGCAGACAACTGAAGTCACCCTCCCCGGTGTCTCAGTGGGAAAACAGAAGGTGACAACACTAAACATGATATGTGAGGTTGCAGGTTCGATTCTGACAGAATGCCCTGGACATGGATACTAGAAACTGACTTTGCAGCTTTCAACTATTTAAAAACCCTAAGATCAGAATATCAAAAATTCCAACACAGTGGATAGAGCGTCTGTCCGGAGACGGCTTCTGTGGTTAAGTAGTGGATAGAGCGTCTGTCCGGAGACGGCCTCTGTGGTGTAGTGGATAGAGAGTCTGTCCGGAGACGGCCTCTGTGGTTAAGTAGTGGATAGAGCGTCTGTCCGGAGACGGCCTCTGTGGTGTAGTGGATAGAGCGTCTGTCCGGAGACGGCCTCTGTGGTTAAGTAGTGGATAGAGCGTCTGTCCGGAGACGGCCTCTGTGGTTAAGTAGTGGATAGAGCGTCTGTCCAGAGACGGCCTCTGTGGTTAAGTAGTGGATAGAGTGTCTGCCCGGAGACGGCCTCTGTGGTTAAGTAGTGGATAGAGCGTCTGTCCGGAGATGGCCTCTGTGGTTAAGTAGTGGATAGAGCACCTGCCCGGAGACCACCTCCGTGGTGTAGTGGATAGAGTGTCTTCCCGGAGACCACCTCCGTGGTGTAGTGGATAGAGTGTCTGCCTGGAGACAACCTCCGTGGTGTTGTGGATAGAGCGTCTGTCCGGAGACGGCCTCTGTGGTTAAGTAGTGGATAGAGTGTCTGTCCGGAGACGGCCTCTGTGGTTAAGTAGTGGATAGAGCACCTGCCCGGAGACCACCTCCGTGGTGTAGTGGATAGAGTGTCTGCCCGGAGACCACCTCCGTGGTGTAGTGGATAGAGTGTCTTCCCGGAGACCACCTCCGTGGTGTAGTGGATAGAGTGTCTGCCTGGAGACAACCTCCGTGGTGTTGTGGATAGAGCGTCAGCCCGGAGACGGCCTCTGTGGTGTAGTGGATAGAGCGTCTGCCCAGAGAGCGGAAGGTCGGGGGTTTGAAGTCCCTGGTCACGTCATACCAAAAGACGTTAAAAGATGGTACTTGTTGTTACTCTGTCTGGCGCTCGAGAATAAGGGGCTAAAACACGGACTGTTTAGCTTGAAGTCTGTATACTGTGTTTCAGTGGGGTATTCATGTTAAACTGCGGCATGGTATCTCAGTGGGCTAGCACTATAAAATCGGCATTAGTCTGGACCAGAGACATACGTTCATATTACGTGATGTTGAACCTCACCTCACCTCACCTCACCTCACCTCACCTCACCTCACCTCACCTCATCTTACTGAATAGTGTGCTGATATACAATATGTATATTTCTTAGTCGTCAGTTTTTCAAAACAATAGTGTATATTTCTCATGTGAATGTGTTGCCAGGCAACCGGTGTATCACGGGGCAACAGCTGAGTCTGGAAGGCAACACAGTAAATGATTGTCACGCTGAGATCATCACCAGACGAGGCTTCCTCAGGTCAGTAGCAGCGCCACCTGGTGACTATAGCCACAGAGACGTAGTCCAACACGGTGGACAGCGGGGTACTGGTCATGGTTGGTCTCTGGTGACTGTAGCCACAGAGACGTAGTCCAACACGGTGGACAGCGGGGTACTGGTCATGGTTGGTCATCTGGTGACTATAGCCACAGAGACGTAGTCCAACACGGTAGACAGCGGGGTACTGGTCATGGTTGGTCACCTGGTGACTGTAGCCACAGAGACGTAGTCCAACACGGTGGACAGCGGGGTACTGGTCATGGTTGGTCATCTGGTGACTGTAGCCACAGAGACATAGTCCAACACGGTGGACAGCGGGGTACTGGTCATGGTTGGTCATCTGGTGACTGTAGCCACAGAGACGTAGTCCAACACGGTGGACAGCGGGGTACTGGTCATGGTTGGTCATCTGGTGACTGTAGCCACAGAGACGTAGTCCAACACGGTGGACAGCGGGGTACTGGTCATGGTTGGTCATCTGGTGACTATAGCCACAGAGACGTAGTCCAACACGGTGGACAGCGGGGTACTGGTCATGGTTGGTCATCTGGTGACTATAGCCACAGAGACGTAGTCCAACACGGTGGACAGCGGGGTACTGGTCATGGTTGGTCATCTGGTGACTGTAGCCACAGAGACGTAGTCCAACACGGTGGACAGCGGTCCTGGGTTCAGTTCCTCACATGGGTAGAGTGTGTGAGGCCCATAGTTGGCCTTCCTGCTACATTATGTCTGGAATACAGAGCAGAGTGCAACAGTACCTACTCCGTTTGCAACGCTCGGATTATCTTCCCGAGACAAGGGAGTTAAAAGTCCAGTTTCCTCCCTTGCCGAACTAGGCTGGAATTTCTTGGCTTGATCGTAGCATCACCAGTGGCTATTACAGGTTATGTCTCTTCTATGGCCCTCCTATTGACCAATCAGATTCCACCTCTCATCATGCTCATATCACTTACAATTGCTTCAAACAAAATGGTGGTGCCCAGTAAAGACAATCAGATCGATAATCAAAATCTATATTGTGATAAAACGGGTCTTGCTTCCCGAAGTGCATCAAATCGTGTGAGCACCTTGATTAAAAACATGAAAAGATTTAGAAAATTTCTGTTGACGTCAAGTTGGCAGTACACATGTTTTCCAAATCCTGCAATCGACCGAAATCTGCACGGCAGTTTATGAACCGGATGTTGATTTCATTACGTGATTTTAATTTGACTATGCATAGACTCGATAATCCAGTCAAAATTAATATTACTCCATAATTCCAGCCTAATTCAGCAAGGGTGGAAACTGGACTTTTATAGTCAGTTATTTCCTTGTCTTGGGAAGCTGCACTCGGAAACAGTCATGGTAGATGTTTTGTAGATTTCTAATAATATCAATTCTAAACAGACATTGCAATGCTACCAAGAGATACAACATAAACATTTAGTTTATTAGTCAAACAAGGAGGTTTGTGTTTGGCCTGGACATAGTTGTGGTCAGTGTCCATCCGATAGTCAGTGTCCATCCGATGGTCAGTGTCCATCTGATAGTCAGTGTCCATCCGATGGTCAGTGTCCATCCGATGGTCAGTGTCCATCCGATGGTCAGTGTCCATCCGATAGTCAGAGTCCATCCGATAGTCAGTGTCCATCCGATAGTCAGTGTCCATCCGATAGTCAGTGTCCATCCGATAGTCAGTGTCCGGTGTTCTCATCTTTCAGGTTCCTGTACGGACAGTTGGAGACCTACGAGCCCGGCAGACCTCACGACCTGTTTGAAGTGGGACAAACCGGCAAACTCCGGCTCAAACCAGGCATCAGTCTCCATCTGTACATCTCAACAGCACCATGCGGAGATGGAGCACTCTTTTCTCCCAGGTGACTGTGTTTATTTGTTTCTTTGTTGTTTAACGCTGCACTCAGCAATATGATGGCGGTCAATAAATAATAGAGTCTGGACCAGACAATCCAGTGAGTGACATCATGAACATTGATTTACTCAATTTGGATATGATGACATACATCAACCAAGTCAGCGAGTCTGACCACCCGATCCCGTTAGTCGCCTCTTATGACAAGCATAGTCGCCTTTTACGACAAGTATGGGTTGCTGAAGACCTATTCTACCCCAGATCGTCACAGGCCCCCAGGTGACTGTTGCAGTGATTGTTTCTAACATAATCAAAATAGAGGATTGGGTGGTTTTGTGGGATCAGGGTGACTGAGCATGTGGAGTTTTATTATGTCTCCCCCAGAATGGAGGGAGACATATTGTTTTTGGCACGGTTCCCGTCGGCGTCGGCGTCGGCGTTCCCACCGTTTCCGGACTTGGTTTCCGGACCATAACTCGAAAACCGTTTAGTATTTTTTCGCGAAACTTTGTATACACATTAACCCAGCACTGAAGTGGTGCCTTTTGCTATTTAGAGATTTTTGACATTTTTATTTTTTCTCGTTTCCATGGAGATAACTTGAACATAGACTCTGAATGGGGGTAAGCTTTGTTTCCGGACCATAACTCGGAAACCGTTTAATATTTTTTCGCGAAACTTTGTATACACATTAACCCAGCACTGAAGTGGTGCCTTTTGCTATTTAGAGATTTTTGACATTTTTATTTTTTCTCGTTTCCATGGAGATAACTTGAACATAGACTCTGAATGGGGGTAAGCTTTGTTTCCGGACCATAACTCGGAAACTGTTTAATATTTTTTCGCGAAACTTTGTATACACATTAACCCAGCACTGAAGTGGTGCCCATTAGTTGTTTGAAATTTCTAGGAGTTCTATTTTTGTCTCTGTTATTTAGTAATGGAGGGTGGGAATGAAGAGATGGGGTTTAACGTGAAATAAACGAATGAATGGGGGTTAGGGGAGTGGGGGGAGACATATGTTTTTACGAGTAAAAACACTTTCTGGTTGGACTATTGTATAGTGCTGACTGTGGCGTTAAACAACAGTCACTTGTGCCCAGAAGCCGTGGCACTATTTGTAAATCCCACCCTCAAACCAGCTTTCCCCAGTTTTATTGTACTCGTTTCAAACTGGCCACTTCCATTCCAGACAATGCTTTGAAACATATTTTGACAAAGTCCTCAATTCAAATTTGAAAACTGAACAAAAGAAATTGGGGAATATCTAAATTGATGTGCAAGATTTGATGGCAGTTCTTCCCATGGGCTATGGAAAGTCTCTGCCATTTTAAATGTTTATTCAGCTGAAGCGCTAGATAGACAATGACATTGCTGGAATATTTGAAAACTACTTAGTTTGTGGACTGAGAGTATTTCATGATATTTAACTTGAACAGATTCAATGTTTCTCAATCTTCAGTAAATTATGTTGCAAATATTACTTGGCCAAGTTCCATGAATGACAATATTTTCATGACTTCTCGACACCTAGGGATGCTGTATCCAACAAGGGCAGTGTGACCTTCGACCGCCAGCACCATCCGACCTTCACCAGCACAGTACAGGGCCTACTTAGAACCAAGATGGAGGGAGGTACGTCACATAACAGCCTACATTACCATGGTTACAGGTTCTGCATCATTTTCAGTGAAATATTTTGCATCCATTGTCTCAGCTGGTTATGGTACTTGGTGAATAATCTCTAAAGGTTGCAGAAGTAAATCTGTTAGTTTAAGTAATTCTTTTTATTGAAAATATAGTTTGAACACCTTTATATTTGTATTGTTGTTTTAATGAATAGATAAAATTACTGTGATTTGAATTTGAGGTAAAGAAGTGAGTTATCCAAAAAAAGTTGTCAGGGCTTGAAGATCGTCTTACACCCAACTTGTCCTGCCGGGCAGGTAGATATTCTAAGTTTTTACATAGCTCTATGTTCTCAGTTATTATAACCATTTTCTGTAATGAAATTCTATGAAAGACTCTGATAGTTAAGGACATTGACGACAGACGTATAAAATAATTCAGTCACTGCCATCTACAATTGTCTCAGGGGCGGTCCGGTAGCCTAGTGGTTAAAGCGTTCGCTCGTCACGCCGAAGACCCGGGTTTCGATTCCCGACATGGGTACAATGTGTGAAGCCCATTTCTGGTGTCCCCCACCGTGATATTGCTGGAATATTGCTAAAAGCGGCGTAAAACCATACTCACTCACTCACTCACTACAATTGTCTCAACCCATTCACACGTCCTAAACATCCGTCTTTCACAGTTCGTTTTGTTTTTTACAATCATACGGTTTTGTGTAATTTTCCTTTTTTATCGACCTCTTGAAAAATCCCTCACAAAATCATGCACTTTTGCTTTGACATTTGAGAGTCAGTAACGAATCGCTTACGACAAAAATAATAACTATATTTTCCTGCCTTTAAAAACTAGTTTTGAGACCTGCTGCGAAAACACACTTTCTGTTTCTAGGACAGACGGTTGCCATGTATGTCGTCTATTTATGATATGAAATGTATTTGAGATTCATACGATTGAGATAGGTACTTACATGTTTGGAGGTGTTTGCATCCTTCTTTCTCACACGGTACATCCTGCCACTCGTCAAGACGACCGGACGATAGTTGTATATTTAGTTGGAATGCGAGCTGGTGATCCTCAGCATTTTATCCTTATTACCATGGTAACGTTATGACACAGAGATATGTTGTTGACAGGGGAGGGCACAATCCCCATCGAGTCGGACTTCGTGGCCCAGACGTTTGATGGGATCCAGCGCGGGGAGAGGCTGAGGACCATGTCGTGTACTGACAAGATCTGTCGGTGGAACGTGGTTGGCATGCAGGGGGCGCTGTTGTCTCACTTCCTGGAACCCATCTATCTCGACTCACTCACTCTGGGTAAGTCAGCTTTGGGATCAGTGTATTCATTGTTACTTATAATAGAATATGTGAACTTAGCACAGAATTTGTCAGAAGTCTGAATTGCTGTCGTTGGGAATGGTATGTTTATTTTATTTAGTTTTAGTTGTACATATGTATGCGTATATAATTTTTAATAGTATGATTATAAGGAGAATCCGATGCATGGTCTTTTAATGTGAAATATACAACACAGTGGATAAAAGTCAGAGGTTTGCCAAGGAGTTTTAACCTCTTATCAACAAATGCGGATATATCTGATATGAATAGACATGAGTGTGTGATAATATTTATCATCCAAAATCATTTTATTATTGTTTTCTGCTTGTAAAGAGTATTAATGTACAGGAAAGCAGCATCAGTGGGAGATAGATTAGTGATGTCATGTGACTGTGATGTCATTGTAACCGATGACATTGGTCTCCAAGGCATTGTAATGTAATTTCATTGAAGTGATATCGTGATATCTTGCACTTGATCACATCCAAGTGATATCTCCGTGGAAGTCAGTATTGGACGAAACATGTAACTTTCACGTCCATTGTCTCATGGTTGGTCACATGTGGTACATCCTATGTGGTGCGAATGCCTTGGCGTAGTAAGTTAATCAGTTCCCTCTGCACTAAACATGAAACTAGTAAGTTAATCAGTTCCCTCTGCACTAAACATGAAACTAGTAAGTTAATCAGTTCCCCCTGCACTAAACATGAAACTAGTAAGTTAATCAGTTCCCTCTGTACTAAACATGAAACTAGTAAGTTAATCAGTTCCCTCTGCACTAAACATGAAACTAGTAAGTTAATCAGTTCCCTCTGCACTAAACATGAAACTAGTAAGTTAATCAGTTCCCTCTGCACTAAACATGAAACTAGTAAGTTAATCAGTTCCCTCTGTACTAAACATGAAACTAGTAAGTTAATCAGTTCCCTCTGCACTAAACATGAAACTAGTAAGTTAATCAGTTCCCTCTGCACTAAACATGAAACTAGTAAGTTAATCAGTTCCCTCTGCACTAAACATGAAACTAGTAAGTTAATCAGTTCCCTCTGCACTAAACATGAAACTAGTAAGTTAATCAGTTCCCTCTGCACTAAACATGAAACTAGTAAGTTAATCAGTTCCCTCTGCACTAAACATGAAACTAGTAAGTTAATCAGTTCCCTCTGTACTAAACATGAAACTAGTAAGTTAATCAGTTCCCTCTGCACTAAACATGAAACTAGTAAGTTAATCAGTTCCCTCTGCACTAAACATGAAACTAGTAAGTTAATCAGTTCCCTCTGCACTAAACATGAAACTAGTAAGTTAATCAGTTCCCTCTGCACTAAACATGAAACTAGTAAGTTAATCAGTTCCCTCTGTACTAAACATGAAACTAGTAAGTTAATCAGTTCCCTCTGCACTAAACATGAAACTAGTAAGTTAATCAGTTCCCTCTGCACTAAACATGAAACTAGTAAGTTAATCAGTTCCCTCTGCACTAAACATGAAACTAGTAAGTTAATCAGTTCCCTCTGCACTAAACATGAAACTAGTAAGTTAATCAGTTCCCTCTGTACTAAACATGAAACTAGTAAGTTAATCAGTTCCCTCTGCACTAAACATGAAACTAGTAAGTTTATCAGTTCCCCCTGCACTAAACATGAAACTAGTAAGTTAATCAGTTCCCTCTGCACTAAACATGAAACTAGTAAGTTAATCAGTTCCCTCTGTACTAAACATGAAACTAGTAAGTTAATCAGTTCCCTCTGCACTAAACATGAAACTAGTAAGTTAATCAGTTCCCTCTGCACTAAACATGAAACTAGTAAGTTAATCAGTTCCCTCTGCACTAAACATGAAACTAGTAAGTTAATCAGTTCCCTCTGTACTAAACATGAAACTAGTAAGTTAATCAGTTCCCCCTGCACTAAACATGAAACTAGTAAGTTAATCAGTTCCCTCTGCACTAAACATGAAACTAGTAAGTTAATCAGTTCCCTCTGCACTAAACATGAAACTAGTAAGTTTATCAGTTCCCCCTGCACTAAACATGAAACTAGTAAGTTAATCAGTTCCCTCTGCACTAAACATGAAACTAGTAAGTTAATCAGTTCCCTCTGTACTAAACATGAAACTAGTAAGTTAATCAGTTCCCTCTGCACTAAACATGAAACTAGTAAGTTAATCAGTTCCCTCTGCACTAAACATGAAACTAGTAAGTTAATCAGTTCCCTCTGCACTAAACATGAAACTAGTAAGTTAATCAGTTCCCTCTGCACTAAACATGAAACTAGTAAGTTAATCAGTTCCCTCTGTACTAAACATGAAACTAGTAACTTAATCAGTTCCCTCTGCACTAAACATGAAACTAGTAAGTTTATCAGTTCCCCCTGCACTAAACATGAAACTAGTAAGTTAATCAGTTCCCTCTGCACTAAACATGAAACTAGTAAGTTAATCAGTTCCCTCTGCACTAAACATGAAACTAGTAAGTTAATCAGTTCCCCCTGCACTAAACATGAAACTAGTAAGTTAATCAGTTCCCTCTGTACTAAACATGAAACTAGTAAGTTAATCAGTTCCCTCTGCACTAAACATGAAACTAGTAAGTTAATCAGTTCCCTCTGCACTAAACATGAAACTAGTAAGTTAATCAGTTCCCTCTGCACTAAACATGAAACTAGTAAGTTAATCAGTTCCCTCTGCACTAAACATGAAACTAGTAAGTTAATCAGTTCCCTCTGTACTAAACATGAAACTAGTAAGTTAATCAGTTCCCTCTGCACTAAACATGAAACTAGTAAGTTAATCAGTTCCCTCTGCACTAAACATGAAACTAGTAAGTTAATCAGTTCCCTCTGCACTAAACATGAAACTAGTAAGTTAATCAGTTCCCTCTGCACTAAACATGAAACTAGTAAGTTAATCAGTTCCCTCTGTACTAAACATGAAACTAGTAAGTTAATCAGTTCCCTCTGCACTAAACATGAAACTAGTAAGTTAATCAGTTCCCTCTGCACTAAACATGAAACTAGTAAGTTAATCAGTTCCCTCTGCACTAAACATGAAACTAGTAAGTTAATCAGTTCCCTCTGCACTAAACATGAAACTAGTAAGTTAATCAGTTCCCTCTGTACTAAACATGAAACTAGTAAGTTAATCAGTTCCCTCTGCACTAAACATGAAACTAGTAAGTTTATCAGTTCCCCCTGCACTAAACATGAAACTAGTAAGTTAATCAGTTCCCTCTGCACTAAACATGAAACTAGTAAGTTAATCAGTTCCCTCTGTACTAAACATGAAACTAGTAAGTTAATCAGTTCCCTCTGCACTAAACATGAAACTAGTAAGTTAATCAGTTCCCTCTGCACTAAACATGAAACTAGTAAGTTAATCAGTTCCCTCTGCACTAAACATGAAACTAGTAAGTTAATCAGTTCCCTCTGTACTAAACATGAAACTAGTAAGTTAATCAGTTCCCCCTGCACTAAACATGAAACTAGTAAGTTAATCAGTTCCCTCTGCACTAAACATGAAACTAGTAAGTTAATCAGTTCCCTCTGCACTAAACATGAAACTAGTAAGTTTATCAGTTCCCCCTGCACTAAACATGAAACTAGTAAGTTAATCAGTTCCCTCTGCACTAAACATGAAACTAGTAAGTTAATCAGTTCCCTCTGTACTAAACATGAAACTAGTAAGTTAATCAGTTCCCTCTGCACTAAACATGAAACTAGTAAGTTAATCAGTTCCCTCTGCACTAAACATGAAACTAGTAAGTTAATCAGTTCCCTCTGCACTAAACATGAAACTAGTAAGTTAATCAGTTCCCTCTGCACTAAACATGAAACTAGTAAGTTAATCAGTTCCCTCTGTACTAAACATGAAACTAGTAAGTTAATCAGTTCCCTCTGCACTAAACATGAAACTGGTAAGTTTATCAGTTCCCCCTGCACTAAACATGAAACTAGTAAGTTAATCAGTTCCCTCTGCACTAAACATGAAACTAGTAAGTTAATCAGTTCCCTCTGTACTAAACATGAAACTAGTAAGTTAATCAGTTCCCTCTGCACTAAACATGAAACTAGTAAGTTAATCAGTTCCCTCTGCACTAAACATGAAACTAGTAAGTTAATCAGTTCCCTCTGCACTAAACATGAAACTAGTAAGTTAATCAGTTCCCTCTGTACTAAACATGAAACTAGTAAGTTAATCAGTTCCCCCTGCACTAAACATGAAACTAGTAAGTTAATCAGTTCCCTCTGCACTAAACATGAAACTAGTAAGTTAATCAGTTCCCTCTGCACTAAACATGAAACTAGTAAGTTTATCAGTTCCCCCTGCACTAAACATGAAACTAGTAAGTTAATCAGTTCCCTCTGCACTAAACATGAAACTAGTAAGTTAATCAGTTCCCTCTGTACTAAACATGAAACTAGTAAGTTAATCAGTTCCCTCTGCACTAAACATGAAACTAGTAAGTTAATCAGTTCCCTCTGCACTAAACATGAAACTAGTAAGTTAATCAGTTCCCTCTGCACTAAACATGAAACTAGTAAGTTAATCAGTTCCCTCTGTACTAAACATGAAACTAGTAAGTTAATCAGTTCCCTCTGCACTAAACATGAAACTAGTAAGTTAATCAGTTCCCTCTGCACTAAACATGAAACTAGTAAGTTAATCAGTTCCCTCTGCACTTAACATGAAACAAGTAAGTTAATCAGTTCCCTCTGCACTAAACATGAAACTAGTACGTTAATCAGTTCCCTCTGCACTAAACATGAAACTAGTAAGTTAATCAGTTCCCCCTGCACTAAACATGAAACTAGTAAGTTAATCAGTTCCCTCTGCACTAAACATGAAACTAGTAAGTTAATCAGTTCCCTCTGCACTAAACATGAAACAAGTAAGTTAATCAGTTCCCTCTGTACTAAACATGAAACTAGTAAGTTAATCTGTTCCCTCTGCACTTAACATGAAACTAGTACGTTAATCAGTTCCCTCTGCACTAAACATGAAACAAGTAAGTTAATCAATTCCCTCTGTACTAAACATGAAACTAGTAAGTTAATCTGTTCCCTCTGCACTAAACATGAAACTAGTAAGTTAATCAGTTCCCTCTGCACTAAACATGAAACCTCGAAGTGGTGTACTCATGGACGCACAAACACAGAAACAAATGGACAAATTTTTACTGCATTGTGTTTGCAGTTATGTGAAGCACAATCACGAACCATAGGGCCAAGGATACTGTCAAACAGAAAAGCAACTCTGCCTCAGAAAGCACCCTGCCATGTTTGAGGGGAGGTGATGGTAAGCTAGTGTAGCAGTTGACAGGGAACTTTTGGGACAGTGCCTAAAATTGGTGTTTCTCTGAATGTGTTGCAGGATTCTTGTATGACCACGGCCATCTTGCAAGGGCTGTGTGTTGCCGTGTCAACAAATCAGACCCCCCAATTGATACCCAGCTCCCCCCGGGGTTCTATCTGAACCATCCCTGGCTGGGGAGGGTGACGGCGTGTGATCCCCCGCGGGAGACGCAGAAGACCAAGTCTCTCAGCATCAACTGGTGTCTCGGGGACCCCAGACCGGAGGTCCTAGATGGCCCGCTGGGACTGTGTCATACAGTGTAAGTATTCACTACCCCAGACCGGAGGTCCTCGATGGCCTGCTGGGACTGTGTCATACAGTGTAAGTATTCACTACCCCAGACCGGAGGTCCTAGATGGCCCGCTGGGACTGTGTCATACAGTGTAAGTATTCACTACCCCAGACCAGAGGTCCTAGACGGCCCGCTGGGACTGTGTCATACAGTGTAAGTATTCACTACCCCAGACCGGAGGTCCTCGATGGCCTGCTGGGACTGTGTCATACAGTGTAAGTATTCACTACTGGGGCATTGTCATACAGCATAAGTATTCACTACAGGACTGTGTCATACAGCATAAGTATTCACTACAGGGGCAGTGTCATACAGCATAAGTATTCACTGCTGGGGCAGTGTCATACAGCATAAGTATTCACTACTGGGGCAGTGGCATACAGCATAAGTATTCACTACAGGACTGTGTCATACAGGGTAAGTATTCACTACGGGGTCAGTGTCATACAGCCTTAGTATTCACTACTGGGGCAGTGGCATACAGCGTAAGTATTCATTAGAAGACTGTGTCATACACCGTAAGTATTCACTGCGGGGACTGTGTCATACAGCAGAAGTATTCACTACAGGACTGTGTCATACAGCGGAAGTATTCACTGCAGAATTGTTTCATACAGTGTAAGTATTCACTACTGGGGCAGTGTCATACAGCATAAGTATTCACTACAGGGCAGTGTCATACAGCGTAAGTATTCACTACAGGGACTGTGTCATACAGGGTAAGTATTCACTACGGGGTCAGTGTCATACAGCATAAATATTCACTACTGGGGCAGTGGCATACAGCGTAAGTATTCATTAGAAGACTGTGTCATACACCGTAAGTATTCACTGCGGGGACTGTGTCATACAGCAGAAGTATTCACTACAGGACTGTGTCATACAGCGGAAGTATTCACTACGGGGACTGTGTCATACAGTGTAAGTATTCACTACTGGGGCAGTGTCATACAGCATAAGTATTCACTACAGGGCAGTGTCATACAGCGTAAGTATTCACTACAGGGACTGTGTCATACAGGGTAAGTATTCACTACTGGGGCAGTGTCATACAGCATAAATATTCACTACTGGGGCAGTGTCATACAGCATAAGTATTCACTACTGGGGCAGTGTCATACAGCGTAAGTATTCACTACAGGACTGTGTCATACAGCAGAAGTATTCACTATAGGGACTGTGTCATACAGCGTAAGTATTCACTACTGGGGCAGTATCATACAGCATAAGTATTCACTACTGGGGCAGTGTCATACAGCGTAAGTATTCATTACAAGATGTGTCATACACAGTAAGTATTCACTACGGGGGCAGTATCATACAGCGTAAGTATTCACTACTGGGGCAGTGTCATACAGCATAAGTATTCACTACTGGGGCAGTGTCATACAGCATAAGTATTCACTACAGGGCAGTGTCATACAGCATAAGTATTCACTACTGGGGCAGTGTCATGCAGGGTAAGTATTCACTACTGGGGCAGTGTCATACAGCATAAGTTTTCACTACAGGACTGTGTCATACAGCGGAAGTATTCACTACTGGGGCAGTGTCATACAGCATAAGTATTCACTACTGGGGCAGTGTCATACAAGGTAAGTATTCACTACAGGGCAGTGTCATACAGCATAAGTATTCACTACTGGGGCAGTGTCATACAGCATAAGTATTCACTACTGGGGCAGTGTCTAACATGGTAAGTATTCACTACTGGGCAGTGTCATACAGCATAAGTATTCGCTACTGGGGCAGTGTCATACAGCATAAGTATTCACTACTGGGGCAGTGTCATACAGGGTAAGTATTCACTACTGGGGCAGTGTTATACAGCATAAGTTTTCACTACAGGACTGTGTCATACAGCGGAAGTATTCACTACTGGGGCAGTGTCATACAGCAGATGTATTCACTACTGGGGCAGTGTCATACAGCATAAGTATTCGCTACTGGGGCAGTGTCATACAGCAGATGTATTCACTACTGGGGCAGTTTCATACAGGGCAAGTATTCACTACTGGGGCAGTGTCATACAGCATAAGTATTCACTACTGGGGCAGTGTCATACAGCATAAGTATTCAGTACTGGGGCAGTGTCACACAGGGTAAGTATTCACTACTGGGGCAGTGTCATACAGCCTAAGTATTCACTACTGGGGCAGTGTCGTACAGCATAAGTATTCAGTACTGGGGCTGTGTCATACAGCATAAGTATTCACTACTGGGGCAGTGTCATACAGCATAAGTATTCACTACTGGGGCAGTGTCATACAGCATAAGTTTTCACTACAGGGCAGTGTCATACAGCATAAGTATTCACTACTGGGGCAGTGTCATGCAGGGTAAGTATTCACTACTGGGGCAGTGTCATACAGCATAAGTTTTCACTACAGGACTGTGTCATACAGCGGAAGTATTCACTACTGGGGCAGTGTCATACAGCATAAGTATTCACTACTGGGGCAGTGTCATACAAGGTAAGTATTCACTACGGGGGCAGTGTCATACAGCATAAGTATTCACTACTGGGGCAGTGTCATACAGCATAAGTATTCACTACTGGGGCAGTGTCTAACATGGTAAGTATTCACTTCTGGGGCAGTGTCATACAGCATAAGTATTCGCTACTGGGGCAGTGTCATACAGCATAAGTATTCACTACTGGGGCAGTGTCATACAGGGTAAGTATTCACTACTGGGGCAGTGTTATACAGCATAAGTTTTCACTACAGGACTGTGTCATACAGCGGAAGTATTCACTACTGGGGCAGTGTCATACAGCATAAGTATTCACTACTGGGGCAGTGTCATACAGCATAAGTATTCACTACTGGGGCAGTGTCATACAGCATAAGTATTCACTACTGGGGCAGTGTCATACAGCATAAGTATTCACTACTGGGACAGTGTCATACAGCATAAGTTTTCACTACTGGGCAGTGTCATACAGCAGATGTATTCACTACTGGGGCAGTGTCATACAGGGTAAGTATTCACTACTGGGGCAGTGTCATACAGCATAAGTATTCACTACTGGGGCAGTGTCATACAGCATAAGTATTCAGTACTGGGGCTGTGTCATACAGCATAAGTATTCACTACAGGACTGTGTCATACAGCGGAAGTATTCACTACTTGGGCAGTGTCATACAGCATAAGTATTCACTACTGGGGCAGTGTCATACAGCATAAGTATTCAGTACTGGGGCAGTGTCATACAGCATAAGTATTCACTACTGGGGCAGTGTCATACAGCATAAGTATTCACTACTGGGGCAGTGTCATACAGCATAAGTATTCACTACTGGGGCAGTGTCATACAGCATAAGTATTCAGTACTGGGGCTGTGTCATACAGCATAAGTATTCACTACTGGGGCAGTGTCATACAGGGTAAGTATTCACTACTGGGGCAGTGTCATACAGCATAAGTATGCACTACTGGGGCAGTGTCATACAGCAAATGTTTTCACTACTGGGGCAGTGTCATACAGCATAAGTATTCACTACTGGGGCAGTGTCATACAGCATAAGTATTCACTACTGGGGCAGTGTCATACAGCATAAGTATTCACTACTGGGGCAGTGTCATACAGCATAAGTATTCACTACTGAGGCAGTGTCATACAGCAGAAGTATTCACTACTGGGGCAGTGTCATACAGCATAAGTATTCACTACTGGGGCAGTGTCATACAGCATAAGTATTCACTACTGGGGCAGTGTCATACAGCATAAGTATTCACTACTGGGGCAGTGTCATACAGCAGAAGTATTCACTACTGGGGCTATTTACACTTCAAGTACTTTTGGCTTCTAAAATTGACTATTAAAAAAGAATTTTATTTTTTCATCTTTTTGCAAAGATTTTCATGCGGTGTTAGACATTTAATGCTTATGTTCATCTCACCCGGGTATTTATATCAATATTTTTTTCTGTTTCAGAATCGAGAACGACTTTTTCTCTAGACTCACGAAAAAGAATCTGTATGATAGTTTCAAGAAAGTTGCCACAAGATTTGGACGCACTGTCCTCCTTGAAGCAGAAACCTACAACAAGGCCAAGATGATGGCGTCGGACTTTCAAACAGCAAAATCAGCCATGTTGAAAAAATTCAAAGAAAACAAGTATGGGCCGTGGGTGTCGAAGCCTGTTGAGGAAGAAATGTTCTGTTAGTGGGATGCATTAGCATTACACTTGCAGAACAAGCCAATAGAGGTCGCCACCTGGAGGGGAGATAACTCTGACCTGCAGAGACAATCCGAGGCAATGGCTTTTTTGCTGTTTGTTTTTTGCTCCATGTTTCTACGTCTTGCAATGTGTTGGCTGTCATTGGTATTACAGACTGTAAGATTTGTAAGAAATGGAAATACTTTAGTTAGAAGCAAACAGAATGTCTTTGCTTTGAATTATTTCATCTTGTGTCCTTTTTTTGAAATTATTACCTTTTTCTTTATTCAAACACATGTTGATATTAAGGCTATTTCAAAAAGGAAATTGGAAAATAAGCAAATGGTTTTGCAGCTTTGTTTATTAATCACATATATTTTCAAAATAAGGGGAGGTAATTCCTATATGTTTCCACTTGACCAATTACAATCAAATGTTGCAAGGTGATCAAAGGGACGTCAAACACTTCGATGTCATGTGGCAACACACAGCCAATCACACTGAAGCTTCACCAATCAGGATGTGCAAGTCAAAGTCTGGAAAAGAAAATCCAATTTGAAAGTTCAGATCGCTAAAGTGATTAGTGAATTTGACTGAAGGGAAGAGACGGGATTGGCTGCTGAGTTGTTGCGAGAACATCGAAGTTGTTTGACGTCCCTGGTAGTGGCCTGCAGCAAAGGCTAACAGCAGCGAGTCATGCCCACACCGTATTGTTTAGAATTTTCATTTGAATCATTGGAAGTTGAGTTTTTCATGCTGTGTATTTCTCAAGCATCTTGTGGTGTATGTAATATGTAGTATGTAATATGTTCTATGTAATATGTAGTATGTAATATGTTCTATGTAATATGTAGTATGTAATATGTTCTATGTAATATGTAGTATGTAATATGTTCTATGTAATATGTAGTATGTAATATGTTCTATGTAATATGTAGTATGTAATATGTTCTATGTAATATGTAGTATGTAATATGTTCTATGTAATATGTAGTATGTAATATGTTCTGTGTAATATGTAGTATGTAATATGCAGCGTTAGAAATTGGCACTTGTCCTGTAGTCCTTGCCAAACTGCCCAATTAAGGTATCCTAAGGACTAGTAGAAATTTACCCTTCTTCAAGATTTTGCTTTATGTTATCTGTATGAGGACTAGTGGACTAAAACTGCTGAATATGTATGCAATATGTAATATGCAGCGCTCCAGATAAGCTTTTGGTGTTGTGGGTATTTTACCCATGCATTTTAAAATCATGGGGTATCAGTAATTCAATCTGGGTATTCAAATTTCTGTTACCCATTAGTTTTTACATGTGTGGGTATTTAAGTTAAATATTTAAAAACACTATTCATCTAGTCCCTGCAAACTGGTGTCGTGTGGGTTCGAGAGCCTTTTTTAGGACCTAAAAATACCACGATACTTCCACAAGAAAGTGTGATGGCAAATGATCATGATGTAAGTGTCATCGTGGAGTTTGGCAAGGTTGACGGAATGCCCGTTTATAATTTCAAAATAAGTTGCTGATTTGCTAATCGAATACGCAGGGTTACTTCACAATATTTTGATGATACGCACAAGTTTTTTTTTTTTAGCGTATCTGTAATGTTCGTTGCTTATTTGATACGCTTGGATTTTATTTTACTGCATATTTCTGCATTTCTGATGCGTATTTCACGCAGCTTATCTGGAGCTCTGGTATGTAAGATGTTGGCTGTGTATAATGGGGCTAAATGTTTAGTTGTACACACATGAAACACACTTATGTATGTTCTCATTGTTCTGTTGAACTGATGTTATTAATTGAAATGTGTGTCTGGTTGTGTGGCAGGGTGAAGATGAGTTTGTGGAACAGTGTGTCAGATCAACCAGAATGGGAAACTATTTTGTGACATGATTGTGTCACCATCTCTCCATGGCTCTCTTCTGTGCATAGGAGGATGTAGAGAATCAGATTTTCTGCCCCTGGTATCATGAAAATAAAGATGTTTTTTTATTGAATTTATTTTGTCCAAAAAGTGGAATTGTTTTGTGACATGATTGTGTCACCATCTCTCCATGGCTCTCTTCTGTGTAGAGGAGGACATATGTATGTAAAAGAATCAGATTTTCTGCCCCTGGTATCATGAAAATAAAGATGTTTTTTATTGAATTTATTTTGTCACATTCCTTTCCTTGTGTGAGTGAGTTGGTGAGGAGATAAACCTACTGTTTTCAATTAAGAGATCTGTGATGTAAAATTGATCCTGCTAAAATATTAATATGTAGGGTCAATCTAGTTTCAGTGTAAAGAGCCGATGATATTTGTTATGTTTTGAACGCAGAAGTTTGTGACTTCATGTTATGACAAAATGGAAAAGCGTATTCCACGATAACGTAGCACTTAAACAATAACACGACACTCCTTCCTTTCTTCCTCAAAATGGACATCCCCAACACGTAACGAATTTATGAACAACAGGGAGCAGGGGAAGTGCGACAACTTTAATATTAACCCTGTGGATGTGCCACTACAAACTCATTTGGCAACATTGGGCAAGCATAGTTAGACATTGTAAGATTTTGACAAATTAGATACTGACTAATACAATTCTTCATCACTGCATTCAAACACGAAAGGTTTCGTCAATGGTGCCATGTTAACATTCCTGGACGGAAGCGCCTCGGTAAGCCAAGCAGTCGCCACTGTACAACAGTGTAGTCATATATGTGAGGCAGTCATAATAACAGCAGTGTCAATCAAAATTTGATATCACATGCAGACTTATTGACCAATCAGAATGAAGAATTCTTGGCTGTCCATGTTAGAATGATTCCCCGTAGACTACTCACTAAGTAATATCACGTGACCGCGAGGAAAGGTCAAAATGACACAAGAAACGTTACTCTGAAAAATGTACACAAAGGCTGTTCATGTGCTCTCCTACCGTATGCAAATCACTCATGTCAAGGGTTCAAGCAGCGAGACGGGCGGTGGGGTAGGTTAGCGGTTAAAGCTTGCGCTCGTCACGCTGACGACCCGGGTTCGATTCCCCACATGGGTACAATGTGTTAAGCCCATTTCTAGTGTCCCCCGCCGTGATATTGCTGAAAGCACTGTAAAACCATACTCACTCACTCAAGCAGCGAGACATTAACTTTGTGCATTGAAACAGGCCTGACACCTTTGCCTCGCTGCGGCCATTGAACATGAAAGAAGGGCCTCATGAATGGCATTCATTATCGCCGAAGGGGTCGTCGGCGCAGGTACTAGGTAGTTCCTGTGCCGACAACGACCCCTACAGCTTCAGTGTCTGAGGAAGGATAAGCCGGACTTCATGTAAAGTGGTAGGTTTTGAAAGACGTCTCAAACGTCATTCCACCTCATCCCAGAGATGTTCGATTGCTGACGGATCAGCGGATCTGGCAGGTCAGGGAAACACATCTCCAACAATCTGGCGTTATGGTGCAGCAACGTCCATTTGCAATTCTCAGTCCGGTGTCATGCCGCATTCAAATCCTTCTTCTTTCTGAATACATTTAAACTTCCTTTTGAAGTGATTGGCATTCTCTATCAAACCATGGTTCATCATATTTATAGTCCGTATCAATTTTCTTCGTTTCAGATTCAGCGATATTTTATAACAACTTTAGAAACATACCAAATACTTTATTCAACGTTGACACATGCTACATCTGCAGCCTCTAGTAGATACTGCACAGTCCCAGAGCAGCCAGCTCCAGTAGATATTGCACAGTCCCGGAGCAGCCTCCTCCAGTAGATGATGCACAGTCCCAGAGCAGCCTCCTCCAGTAGATGATGCACAGTCCCAGAGCAGCCTCCTCCAGTAGATGATGCACAGTCCCAGGGCAGCCTCCTCCAGTAGATGATGCACAGTCCCAGAGCAGCCTCCTCCAGTAGATGATGCACAGTCCAAAAGCAGCCTCCTCCAGTAGATGATGCACAGTCCCATAGCAGCCTCCTCCAGTAGATGATGCGTAGTCCCAGAGCAGCCTCCTCCAGTAGATGATGCACAGTCCCGGAGCAGCCTTCTCCAGTACATGATGCTCAGTCCCATAGCAGCCTCCTCCAGTAGATGATGCGTAGTCCCAGAGCAGCCTCCTCCAGTAGATACTGCACAGTCCCGGAGCAGCCTCCTCCAGTAGATGATGCACAGTCCCAGGGCAGCCTTCTCCAGTAGATGATGCACAGTCCCGGAGCAGCCTCCTCCAGTAGATACTGCACAGTCCCAGAGCAGCCTCCTCCAGTAGATGATGCACAGTCCCAGAGCAGCCTCCTCCAGTAGATACTGCACAGTCCCGGAGCAGCCTCCTCCAGTAGATATTGCACAGTCCCAGAGCAGCCTCCTCCAGTAGATATGGCACAGTCCAATAGCAGCCTTCTCCAGTAGATGATGCACAGTCCCAGAGTAAGGTTTGTTCTAGATTGTTCAGTCCTCTCTTCAACCCACACGAATTTAAAAAAATCTTTGTTACGTGTATTGCGTGGCGTAGGGTCACTTACTTGAAGCGCACGTAAACTAGTCGTGACAGGAAGGTGTGATGACTCGGCCCGGGACGGTATGTCAAAGCTATGGCAAATATCAGACAACTAGGACGAGGCAATAACATAGTCCACCACACTCGCACCCTGGTTTCCTATAAACGTAAAATCTCCCACCCCGGCGTGTGACCCTCACCTCCCATTCATATGATATTCACTACACTACACGAATCTAGTAAGCTCGTACCAAAGTTATTGAAAAATAAATAAAACAGAATTTTTTTTAAAGCTGAATTTGTCTTAAATTAAACCCATACACTGTTACCAGGCCCCTCGAGACAATGTAAGAATATCATATTGTACAAAGTCAGTTCAGTGCTAGTTCCTGCATTCAAGTCCAATACATCAAGTAAGTAATTATATAATATGTCTATGTCATGTTTGCATTGCCTCAAAGGGTTTGTGTATTTGTTGCTTTGCTCGATACCTGTGCGTACGGTCAATGTCACTATCAGCAAATTCATCTTCTCTCTGGTTGTATTAAATATGTCTGGTATATTTTCCTTGCACACTTTATACAATTTCTCCATTCTCTCTTGTACCCCACAAGCAAATTATTTCTTCTGCTCTGTTTTTCCCGGTGTTCTACTCTAGACTCTAGGTCACTGATACTGTCAGACCAGTTATACAATTCATCCACTTTGTTAGATACTTCATCCCACCCGTGACGATCCGGGTTAGAATACATCTTCAGCAACCGAGGAAAGCTGGTTTGAGGGTGGGATTTACAAATAGTGCCACGGCTTCTGGGCACAAGTGACTGTTGTTTAACGCCACAGTCAGCACCATACAATAGTCCAATAAAACTCCACATGCTCAGTCACCCTGATCACACAAAACCACCCAATCCTCTATTTTGATTATGTTAGAAACAATCACTGCAGCAGTCACCTGGGGGCCTGTGACGATCCGGGGTAGAATAGGTCTTCAGCAACCCATACTTGTCGTAAAAGGCGACTATGCTTGTCATACGAGGCGACTAACGGGACCGGAGGGTCAGGCTCGCTGACTTGGTCGATGCATGCCATCGTATCCCAATTGCGTGGGTCGATGCTCATGATATCAATCACTAGATTGTCTACTCCAGACCTTTATCTAGCTGGAATAATGCTGAGATCTGCGTTACACAACAAACAAGACACTTCATCCACATCTAGTCTGAGAACAGCCAGCTCTTCTCTGTTTACACTAACTTCTTTTCTAAGTTCACACACGGCTGTCTTGGTTGAATGTACTTCTTCTCTCAAAGATCGTATGTCTCTTGATAATCTGTCTTCAGATTCCATAATCTGATTTGTGATGGTTGATTCCAATCCTGCGAAGTCCCCACAAGTCGGGCACGTTATCTCAGGCTGCAGAGGAGACGTAGCTGCCCTTCGCCAACAGTGATGCGCCGACCTTTGCACCCTGAATGCACACACTTCCAGTGTGTTGAGCCGGACTGGAACACTTGCTGGCCGTCTCCATTTAATATTATATATTTACCATGATGTGATACAGTGACTTGCCGACATCTAGTTTTATACTTTCCAATGTGGGGGGATTAAAATAAAGGTATATACTTTGACACATTTTACGCAGTCTAATGTTAATCGCATTGACCTCTAGTTTTTACAGTCATATGTATTAACATCTCCTCAGCTTAAGAACTGGCTTGTTTGAATAACAATGAATAAGAACTTAAATTGCACTGATCTTAAAAATAGTTAAATTATGTGATTGGTTCTATATTATTTTGTTATTGTTGTTTATACAGTAATAAGTATATACTCAGTCTAATTTTTAT